TATATATAACGCTGAGGCGTATCATTTTGCATGGAAATTTATAAATTATTAGGAGTTTTAGTTGTATTTTCTATACTTCTTGATTTCTTTAAACCATCAACAACAATAGAACTATTGAAATGATATGCGAACTTCATACACTGCAATTCTCAATCACCGTCTATGTACACAATTCGTTGAGTTTCCTACAATATGTAGTCAATTATTCTAATCATTATATGTTAAATAAGTGATACTGTTTTCGTTTTATCTAACAAATACGATAAGAACTGTTTTTATCAACCGTTGTCTTGATAAATAATCTAAATTACAAATGCAATATTTATCTCCTATTGCGAAATTCTGAAAATTACCCGAGTATGAAAATTTTAAAAATTTGTGAATGTCTTTTGCGCTTAAGAATTGAAGATTTAAAAAAGATTGGAAAGGGATCGCAGACTGGACGGCTACAAAGTGATACTTCTTGAGGAAGTTGCATCCAGAGAAGAGATAAAGAGAATCTCTGATTAATATACAATTCTCGTCCCTTTAAAAACATCTAGTAATTCCGATATTTGATCGACGCTTTGTAGCAAGTACAATAACATCATTTTGACACAATTTATACTTTTCTCTGTATGTTATCATTCGATTTATTTGTTATAAGTAACTAAACGAATTCACTAGAGGATCCAAGAGACAAGAGAAGTAAAATAAACAAATCTATAATACGCTCATGGTGTAAAAAGATAAGATGCAACAAATTTCTATGGATGCACAGTGGATGGACAATCAGGAATTAGTCCCAAATGCTAAAAGTAATATAGCAATTAACATTATTATAAATGTTATACAAAGAATTAAATAACATAATTTTTGAAACTTGTTGCTTCAATTTCATTCCAATTGTTTCATAATCGCTTTTTTTAAATATTTGCTCATTTTAATTAATAAATGTTTATTTTAGTTATCTTTTTACCATAAATAATTAATTTCTTCTTCTTTCATTATTATTTTTATAATTGATCTCATGAATCTATGATTACCATCATGCACAATACAATACTTTCTCTTTTTATACCATGAGAACATGGCTTTATGTCTCAAGAATTAATAAAGAAAATGTTATCTAAGAATATAATGATACTCTGATATATAGTTGCCTATAATGTAATACAAACGCCTTACAATTAATTAGAATGGTAAGCATATGTAAAGCGTATTTGTAAAGCATAGCATAAAGTAAAGGTATTAGTCGTATACAGGATGAGGTATGTTTCAAATGTGATACATTAATCTCTCTTAGAATGAAGCAAAAAATGATATAGTCATGAAATATTCTTCTTGAGAATTACAATTTGTACTCTCAACAAATAAATAGATATATATATTTTTTTCTCTGTACATTCTGAGATATCAAATTTTGTGTCACGCTTTAAACTCAACCTCAACTTGTATACAGCATAAATTTTTTCACGCAGCAAAGAAGAGCTTGTTTTTGCTACTACTTGTTACAGCGATTAGATGAAATAATTGTGCATGTATCCTGCATGAAGGGATTACAAGTTGCACTTCGTCCATTAAAACTTAAGGAGATTCCATACATTGTACGCGCTTTTGAAGGAAACATCATGTTTTTCTAACAATACATTCTTGATTGCAATATTTTTTTACGCCATCTTTGTTGTTTGTTATATTGAAGATGAGATGAGAAGCACAATAAAAGACAACAAATTCCTAGCTGAAAACTACTGCATTTTATCCTTTATATTCAAGTTTACTATCTTTAAAATTTTAGCACACATAATGATGCCCAAGGTACAGTTTTGCAAGCAAAATCTTAATCTCACTCATGTATAAAACAAAATGTTTTATATATTTTCTGTTACGCAGATATATGTCTTGTGTAAAAGACTTCATGCTTTTCTATGTTCCAAAACCTACTTTGAAACAAATACTAATTAACTTAAACGATAGTTAATTAACTAGAAGAATTTGTCTATGGCAAACTTTCTAACTATATAATTTATCCATATCCCTATTTCTAATCTAATCTAATCTTTCTTTCCCATGCATCAAATTAATAAAATTTACAGCAGGGTATTACTGATAGCTTAATCGCTCATTGACTTATCAAAGTGACTCTGATGTTGTAATCATTTATCATATTAATGTAAAAATGAAGGAAAGATTTTTGTAACTTGAAACTGTAATATTGTTATGAAAAACCTCGCATTTTCGTCACAAATTTACTCAAATAATTAATTATTAAATTATTATTTGTAATTCTGCTAACATATACCCACTAATTTAACCTTAAAAAGAGTATCGTTTTCGATGGCTGCTTACTATTTTTACAGTATGAAGCATCAATCTCAATTATCCAATTTGTATTCTATTCGAAAGTGCAATATTAATAGCATATCTCGTCCAAATTGACAAAGAAATTCATCCTCTGCGCAAGAAACATTGTTTATTGCGACTATATTGTCTACTTTGTTTCTTTCCTCTTCTCTCTTTGTCTATTCTATGCTGCTTCATTCATTTTCAATGCAGGTGTAAGCAGCTGCACCTTTTTTTTTTTTTTTTTTTTTTTTTTTTAGAAGCACCTATTTATTATATCGATATTAAAGTAACGCGTACCTACCGTAAATTACGTTATTAGTTAGTTATTCAAGAAGGAAAATGTACATGTATATATATCTTCCTCTCTTTTCTTCCCCGTTTTATAATTATTCCCCTCGCACTGCGAAATCCACAAAAAAAAGATGTTTAAATCACCGGGAAGATAGAAGCGAAAGGATTTGGATTCGATCGTATCGTAACGACAATATGACGTTATCACGTACATACCTCTTGCTTGCCTTCCAAAAACGATAATGTTTCCTCCACACGCGACGTCCTCGATCTCACGAATCTACAAAAGATTTTCCGTTATGCACACGCGAACTGGGTAACCGGCACGCGGGCAAATTTTACGAGAATTCAGCGTACGATCATCGACAATAAACACTGTCAAAGATGACCGATCTACCGATCTGCTTTGCGAAATTGTACAAAGTCCCACCGCGACGAGGCGTTACCATCGCAATGAAATAAGAGCCTATCCTGGCGCACTTCGTGCAGAGACCGACCAATCGCGGGAGCTTTCCAACAAGAAAATACAGGTGGACACAATTGTCACGCAATTGGCTATCGAATAGAGATTTTTTAAAGCCTTGAAAATAATTTCACAAATATTAATAAAAATATCTTTTTTTTATTTTTTTGAAAAATATTTTTCTATTTGACAACCAATCATGTGACATTTGTGTTTATGTGTGTCTTGCTGAAAAGATTCCCTGAACTTTAGGTCGCCTTTAGTCGCTTCTAACACGATCATATAAACGCAGCTTTAGGCTTGTCTCTTTACATCGCTTTTACTCCCAGTCTATCTGATCCTTTTTGTTTGTGACCGGACGAGACGTGAAAACGTAGTCGGGTTAGTTCGCGTCTCATGCGTGAAAAATTATAGGAAGGGCCTATCAAAATGGTAAGGAAATTTAATTTCTCGTACGCGAATGTCACGTCACACTCTACATCAAGTTCCGCGATCTCTTTCGCAGATCCCGCATGCTTTTGCGAGAACTACTTTGTTCCGAAAGATCGCACCCTGCCGCGTGCTCGAGCACGATGTAATATTAGCATACCATTTGTAATATCTTGGAAATAAGTATACCGCATGCTTTTGCGAGAACTACTTTGTTCCGAAAGATCGCACCCTGCCGCGTGCTCGAGCACGATGTAATATTAGCCATTTGTAATATCTTGGAAATAAGTATACCAATGTTTCGACTTGCGCTCTTATTCTCTTTTAATGATATTTTGTCTTATTTAATGTAATAACGTGCGTTAGACCCTTCTCGCGGAAGTTATTAGTGTATGTGCAACACTTTTCGATAGCACGTGGATCGAGGTAGCATATCCGGTATAATCCGCCATTACGTGATATCGTATATGTAAAAAACGAATATCTGAGATCTATAAATTGTCAAGTAATAAAACGAGAGAAGTCAAGATATTAAAGTCAAGCATGAATTAATCAAGTTATTATAGGCGAAAGTGATTTTTTGCGACCTTTGTATTTGCGATAATCGGCTATGATCTTTTCGTGACATATGCCGCATAATGATGGAAAGTGAAATTCTCAATTCTTTCAAATGTATTTAAAGTTAGGTAATGAAGTTGTTAGTTGTTAGATAATAAAAAAAATTATGTTAAATTTTAAATAATATTTCTAGGCTGAAAGAAATATCAAAGTTAATAGCTTTTTTATCTTAAAAAGAAATATGAAACACCTGAAAAGAAAAATGTCTATTTTTAAAAGATTTTCTTTTTATTTATAGGAAATAATATATTGAAAGCGAAGGATTATATGTATAATTTGTAAGAAAATTGGAAATATTAAAAATTGTTTTCGTACTCCATATTTCACATATCACATTAAAATATCAAAATTTCATATAGAAATGTATCTAAACAAAATTCTTTTTGCAGACAAATAACATCTTTTTTTTAACATTCCTGAAAATATATAAGACATCTAATCCATATCAACAATATCATAATTTATGTACACAATACTGATACTCATAAAAAATATATTTCTTTATAAGAGAACTTTTTGGTTGAGAAGGAGATACTCGATTTTTTATAAAACTATACATATAATTATAAAAGAATTTCCTAAAAAACTAGTAATCTTCTGTTGGAAAGAAAAATTTCATATCTTTTTTAAGTAATAATTATAAAATATATAAGATATACAAAACATTCACACACACATCTAACATTTAAATTTATTTAGAATTTTTATATTTTATTTTATTTTCTTAAAAACTCTATATCATATATTTCATAAATTATTACATATAATAAAGAATCTCTGTGTGAGATTTTGTTGGCAAAATTACATTTAGATTGTTTATTGCCATTAGGAACTGATCAGTTACTAGAATTCTACCCATTTAATGTTTATAATAAGATGACATCAGTTTATTAATATATTTGGATTATTACTATATCTTTTTTCAGTCGTTATCAACGGCGCGACCGATTATTACGGTATATACCGACAAAAACGAGGCATCAGGTGATGTAATTTCTCTGCCGGCTGTTTTCAAAGCTCCGATTCGACCGGACATTGTCAATGTCGTCCACCAGTTGATCTCTACGAATAGTAGACAACCATACTGTGTCTCCAAAGAGGCTGGTAAATATATTTACGAGATCTGATATTTAAATATACCTTGATCTGCAAAATTATTAAATATAACTTCTATTTCGTAGGCCATCAAACCTCTGCTGAATCATGGGGAACTGGACGAGCTGTGGCACGTATACCTCGTGTACGTGGCGGTGGTACCCACCGTTCTGGTCAGGGTGCGTTCGGTAACATGTGCCGAGGTGGACGCATGTTTGCCCCTACCAAGCCGTGGCGACGCTGGCATCATCGCGTCAACGTCAATCAGAAACGTTATGCCCTCGTTTCTGCTATTGCTGCATCTGGTGTTCCTGCGCTTGTGCAATCTAAAGGTGTGTACTTTTTGCTAATGTAACATTTTCACTAAAAAGGAAATGGGAACAACAATTTAAAAAAAAAGTTCTCACATTCTCTTTTATACATTTTTGAGCTTCAATGTAAATTTTCTCACATTTAAATGATAAAAACTTATGATCATGTATTATTGGTTTATCAATTAGTATTGTAATTATTTTTTGATACATATTTAATTTAATCTAATTTTTATTAGTATTTTGTATGAAGATTAACAGATTATATATATAACATTATATACTTTATGCAGGACACTTGATTGAGGAAGTCCCAGAGTTTCCACTGGTTGTTTCTGATAAAATTCAAGAATACACAAAAACCAAGCAAGCTGTCATTTTTTTAAGACGCATCAAAGCTTGGAATGACATCCAAAAGGTTTGAGTTTTAAATCTTATCTTTTTTTATATCATATCTCCTTTATATCACATATATATGCACCAACAAATGTCCGCATCTTTGCTAAGCAGGTTTAGTTCAGATGCTCCTGATAGGTGCTAGAAAAATATGGTATTCAGGCGTTCTTTTCTAGTTGAAATTTGCACTTACTAGCAAAGGGTATGAATCACCAAACAATGTCTTCTTTTTCTCTGTATTGTTCTCATGCATTTTTAATACCACAAAACATGTTATAGAAACTTCTAAAATAGTATAAGAGTTTCTTCAAAGATATCCACGATTTTATTTTGTTAAAAAATCAATTAATTAAATCTTTGTGAGAGTCAGTTAGTGAATTGAATCCCTTTGAATTAAGTTATAAACCTTCCTTTACTTCTAAATCTTAACTATTTGTATTGTAATTAATATTTTGTTCATTATTTATTTTATTAGGTATATAAGTCTCAACGTTTTCGTGCTGGCAAAGGTAAAATGCGTAATCGCCGACGCATCCACCGACGTGGACCTTTGATTGTTTACGGTCAAGATCAGGTAATTAATTTTCTTTTAAGATGTAATATATTATTTGATTAAGTTTCCTATAGAGATAAGTTGTACCAAAATTAAAATAAGTTTTGTCCATAAATTTAGTTATTAGGTCTCATATAAATCATGAATAATCATTTACAAATCATATAATTATAATAATTTCTGATTTCTAGGGTATCCGTAAAGCATTCCGCAACATTCCCGGCGTCAGTCTGATGAACATCAACAAGATGAACCTTTTGAAATTGGCACCGGGTGGTCATGTTGGACGTTTTGTTATCTGGACAAAATCTGCTTTTGAACAATTAGATGCTCTTTATGGAACCTGGCGTAAGGAGTCGCAACTCAAGAAAGGATATAATTTACCATTCCCCAAAATGGCCAATACTGATTTATCCAGGCTCCTGAAGTCTGAGGAAATTCGGAAAGTCCTAAGAGCTCCTAGGTAATTATGTTAAGAAATTATACATATTTTAATAACTAAATTTGCAAACGTACTTTTGTTTCCTTTTAATTTGGCAGCACTAAAACTACTATATTAAAAGATGTAACATTAATTCAGATTTGCATTAATTCAAATTTGCTAAATGAACATTGATTATTCTGTGATGATTATAATTGATCTTGCATTGTTATGAATCCTATGGCCATGATCACATTATTGGTAATTGATACGATTTATTCAATATAATTATAGGAAGAAGGTGGTGCGCAGAGTGAAGAAATTGAACCCGTTGGTTAACACACGGGCTATGCTGCGTCTTAATCCATATGCAGCTGTATTGAAACGTGCTGCCATTTTGACCGCGCAGAAGCGTCAACACGAGAAGGATCGTCTTCTCGCTGAAAAACGAGGCGTAAGTACAGCTTTGCTAAGTCTTTTTGCTTTTTATATACATTTTAGTGTTATTGTGGAGAATAAAATGATTCAATATACATATATATAAAAGATATATGGATAATCTCAGATAATATAATTTGAATAATATCTCTGAAATTGAAAAATATATATTAATATCAAAGATAGAGATTTCTTATATTGAAAAATATTATGTACAAAGTAATTAGATTAATATGAATAAAAAGGACTTAATGATTGTGAAATAAATACATAAAGAACGATAAAAGGCAGTGTAAGCGTGAGTTATGTGAAGATAACACATGAAATAATAATTATTTATTTGGTGTAATAAATAATTTATTTTGTTAGTATATACCACATTTTTTAATTTTTTAAGAAAATATAAAGTTATTTATATGCAAAATTACTATGGGGTATCAGAAAAGATCAACTGCAAAATGTGATAATAGTGTATCAGAAATTTTTACTAATTGATCGATTCCATCCACTACAGATAAAATTACCGAAGAACGCACCGGCATCGAAGGCTCTTGTCCTTCAGAAGAGGAGGAAACAACAACTTGCTAAAATTAAGCAATTGAAGCCTCGAGTGAAGAAAACTTCGGCAAAGAAAGCTCCGGCAAAGGAAGCTCCGGCAAAGGAAGCTCCGGCAAAGGAAATTGAGAAAGATACCGCAAAAACCGCTGCTCCCAAGCAGCCAGCTAAGAAGTGAACAGCAATCATTGATAATATTGTTGTTAACGCATAATTTCTATTTCTGTCTCTGAATAAAAGAAAAGGCGGAAAAATTTACAGTTGTTTTTTTAACTTTCTTTTTAATGCATTTCTTTTTTTAATGCTACATGTGAGGAATCTATGTTTATTAATAAGTAGTTTGTATGTATTATCTAATATACCTTCTATTTACAATATCCAAGATAATATTGTAAATTGCAATTGGCTTCTCTTTTTATTAAATCAAATTCGTGAAAGTAATTGAAGAATTCAGATAAAACATAATTGATAGATTCTGAAATGTATACAGCACAATCAAAAGCGTAATCATATTTGTTGATTTTATAGAGAGAATATTTCAGTTTCATGACATATTCTTATTTCATTTTCATTCTTTCTCTTCTTTCTTGTTCTATTCCTGCACGATGTTGGTAGAGGTAAAAAGCGAAAGTAGAAAATAAAAAAAAAAAAGAAAAACGCGTGATTTCAGGACTACATCGTTAACCTGAACCTGAACAGACCTAAATTTTGGTTCTCTTTTTGCCCGGTTCTGCGCATAAAATATATTTTTTTAATTTATGACGATTATGCACTTGTCATTTGATCATGACCGGAGATTGGAAATTTTATCATCCTGAAAGTGTACACAGCAATCGTATTAAATTCAGTCATGTATACAGGTTAACCATGTTAAAACCATCCTACATAAAAAATTTTAGATTGAAAAATATGTTTGTTTTTCTCTTATATTAAATAAGTAATCTTTTAGTAATTCCTGGCATATCATCGAATAGCTGTAAAATTAAACAATAAATCAATGAATAATCTTAAATTAAATCATTTTCAAATAGGTCAGCTGTCTCGTCACAAGGCGAAGAATATTTTCCTCGACAGGATATTAAGAAATCGACAGTATTCGATTTAGTTTATAGATACTTGCATAAATGTGCCGATAGGGACAAGAAATGGAAACGAAATTGCGCATGCAACAGATTTTATAAACAACACGCGAGAAAAAGAAGTATTCACGGACGAGATGCACCGACACCTCGGACAAATTTCAAGGAAGAAATCTTCGATGAGCAGCTTAAGCCGAATAAATTTGTACTTCACAAAAGGATGTCTAGAAGCTCGTCAAAAGAATATATTGCCGATTATACGAAAGCTGTCCGCGATGGTATACATATAAATTTATATTTAATACTTCGTATATTATATTTAATAAATATAATTTATATTAAATATATATATATGTAATTAGAGAGATAATATCTATAATTTATCTATATAATAACTCAATTATGTTCTTTCTCTCTCTTGACATTAAAAAAACGGGCGTAATTTCAAAAATTAAATTTTCTAAAAAAAATGAGAAAAAAAAAGAAATATGTAGAAAACTCTGCTAAATTGTTTCATCATTGGCAGACTGATTTCTTTGCTTAGGACGAAGGCGCGCAAAATTGTACGTGCAGGAAGCGCTTTTATATGGTTTACAATCTGGATTGTTAATTCCTATTGATCGACACAGGAACATATTATATGTTTCGCAAAAGTTAGGGGTTTTCTCGCCGAAGAATGTAAAAGATCTGTATCAACATCAGTGATACCAAGTATCGTATAAAAAATTACCAAATTTGATTGTAATAAATTTAATTATCCAAACCGTAGCATGATTGTTTGTAATATTTACAATAATATAAATTTTTTAAATTTGATATATATGTGAATTATTCGTTAAATATAATACAGAAAAGGTATATTTTTATATCTATTTCATTCAAAATTTATAACATTTCACATTTTTTTATTTTATATATATAGTAAATTAATATTCAATATTTTATGTAAAATTAAAAATTTTCAAGCAGTAATCATATTCATTTGAAAATATTAGATTCGGAAAGATTATTATCGTATAATTTTTGAATTGTACCTTTAAAAATTTATGCGAAATAACTTTCATGCATATATGTCGAGAATATAATTTTTAGATAAATTTTTCAAGCTTTTAGAAATACATTTAATTGGTACTCAACTTTGATTTGCAATTATCGCGCTCTTCGTCGTTCGCATTCTTGACGACAGCGTCGGATCCACCTTTTCAATTCTCGTTCGCGTGCCGTATTCCTCCTGCGAGGACTTCGCGCTCTCAATTCCCTGTACGCACTATCTTCTGTATCTTCGTCCTCCTCTTCCACTTTTTCTTCATCCTCTTCGTTTTCTCCTTCATCGGTTTCGCGACGTTGTCCATTCCGCTGGTTCCTGATGGCTACGCGAGTACGATCCAAAGGTCGTCTCCTCGAATGCTCATCTCGGGTAACCCGAGTCACTTCGTTAGTATCGCAAATGCAATCCATATCTTCCTCTGTAGTAGTCTCTTCGTCATTTTCATCCGCGCGTTGCACTATTCGATCTTCTAATCGCGCTTTTTTCGCCTTTCTGTCTGGAGTCGGTGGAAGAGCTCTCACAAAATCTCTTGAAGGTCCAGGAATCGGTTCTGCATGTTCATCACGTCGTTCTATCTTGCGTATTCCGGTGATATCACGTTGTCGACGATCGTCTCGGATATCCGAAGTATCATTGCAATCACAAGAAGGTAATAATTCTTCAGCATCATATTCTGTATCTCGATGATGCGCATTATTTCTTTCCTCGGCTGATATTCTGGTTGAATAAAACCTCGGTTCTCCTATCGAATTTTCATCGCGATCGACGATAAATGTTCTTCCGAGAGATTCCTCGTGGGATCTTGCATCCTGCGGAGGCCCGTTTCTTCTAAGAAATCGCTCGCAACGACATACACCGTTTCTGAGGCTTTCTCGTCTTCTTGATGTGTCGTCTATTGCCATTGATGTACGATTTTTGCAATTCAAGGAGCAGCCATTCGATTTCGTCGCACTAACGACAGGACCAATCAAGTGGTACTCATTTTTCAATAATTCCATGACGAATCTGTTACAGAGTCATAATCGTTAACTCATTTTAGAAACAAAAATATTAATATTAATTACGCAATACTTCAAAGCTTGATAGAATATATATATATATATAAAAATTCTCATCATTTCGATCTTAAATGAATTAAATATTGTAAAGGAGGAAACCATGTTATTATTATTGTAAGTGCGAAAAAAAAGAAAAAAAATTTCGAATCGAATATACATAATATTTAATAAATATTTTTAATTATTATTGTTAAAGCATATAACTTATGTAGCATTTTGCACCACAATTTAATGAGATAGATCGATTTTTATCGTAATTCTCTATGATTGTATCTTTTGAGCATTAGATTTTGCTAAAATAATTTTGCATCGCACGGTACGAGTTTGCTGTATGTACCCAGCAAACACAGAATATAACTGCTATATAACATGGGAATAACATGTAATGTAACGGTTGTTATACCTAATTTATATTGGGATTATATAACTATCTCTTATTTAAGCAATATAACACCAGAATATACCTGCTATGTAACATGGGAGTAACATGTAATGTAACAGTTGTTATACGTAATTTATATTGGGATTATATAACTGTCTTTTATTTATGCAATATAACATCAGACTTTTATTATGGCAATGTTACAGTTATGTATCTGTGTTTGCTGGGTAATTAGCGTTATAAACGAAATCGGTCGATAGATGCATAACCTGGAAACAAGATAGACTGCGCAATAGTAGGGTAATTGCCTTGAAACGCGATCGCGTCCTCAGCACGCGAGAGACGCATCCTCTCCGCCTTTCTGACCTTCGGCTGTCTTTGACGGAGTTAATTCTCGCCGAAAACTAACCCTTGAGAACAGACCTGTCTCAGCGCGGTCCGCACCTGGGCATAAAGGTCACCATCGTGGCGATAATTCGCCCGGATGTAATCGACGATGTCATCGGCGCTGGAAGTGGACGGCTGGTTCACGTCGCGCTGCAACGAGCGCATCGCCTCTAAAACGCGCAGCGAGAATCTCGCTGAATTCTCTATACCACACTTGCATTGCTGGGGTGTCTATGATGAAAGAAATTTTTATTCAGCATTTGAAAATCATTATTTTAGCATAAATATCTCTTTTTTCGTTTTATAATTTTTATAATTTTATAACTGATTGTGAATATAATAAATTAATATAATTTTTAATTGTTTAATACATGACTAAAAAATGTGATAAAATTATTCAATGATTAAATCTTTCTAAACGCTTGGTATGTCATATGTCTAATAAGATATAAAAGATTAACAAAAGTTTTATCAATCTTTAAATCGTGATTTTTATATAAATAAAGTCTTAAATATTATAATCATATAAATATATATAAAAAATTGAGATTCAAAAAATTATTTTATGAATGAAAAGATTTCTTGTAATTTACTTCTTTAGGCGTATCATCTGGTTCCTCGCAATCTCTTGGACAACTTTCAGATCGCGTCGCATTAAAATCGTTTTCTTGGTCCTCATCAAGAATTTCATCAACTATGGCGTTGACTTTTTCTTCCATTCTTTTAGTATTCTTCATCGTCGATTTAATTGTTATTCGAAAAGTTAATGAAAAATGTCACTTTTACAGGTTGAAATGTACATATATATACCTGAAATTTGTTATAAACGAATGTTGAAAAAAATTTAATTTTAAGTTTATCTAAAGTTTTTCGAAAAGGAATTTTTAAGAACTATCTGCGAATGTTTAAGATAAACGTAAAATACCATCGTTTTTTAGCATGCGCCGCGAATATGTGAACCATGTATGATGGGGTTAAGGATGTCATGCCATGTCATGCCGATACAAATGACGGTTTTATGTATGTCCCATTAAATTTGAAGGATTTCGATAAAGCGCGACGAGAGTCGTCCTCCCTGACTCGCAATCCTGGTATCGATCTGCAATCGAAATAACGCCACAGGAAGGTGCTGCGAGGTCAAGGGGCGTAAATAGGCGTAGGTGTAGAGAGAAAAAAGTAGGAGGAGCACGTGGATGGCGGGGACGAGTGCATATGTGAAATATTAATAGGGCGAGCAGTCAGTGAACGCGTGACGTACTATACACGGAAGTACTTTTACATTGTCGGTACCTCGGACGGCTTCCTCGACTAGAGACATGGCTTCTCGCATTGTGTACGAATTATGATAAAATTATTGCCGCTCTATATGTGCGAACGGCATAGACGCAATAGATATAGCGCGCCGACAATAGATACGATAATAATAAAATTACACACACATCGCTTTTTCATAATAACGGCAATTCTGCAAAACGCTCATAGCGATTTCCTCAGTGAGTTTATGAAAAAAAATTTCTTCCTCACTCCATCAATCCACATAGCGCACATTGTTGCACCATCATCGCGATGTCCGCGGATCTTCCTCTATGAAATATGCATTGGACTAGCGAAAATAAGAAAAGCTTGCAAGAGTAAAAGAACTTATACAATATTATTTAATTATTTGAAATTAATATTATTATATGGATAGCATATTATTTTTTGATGCATTCTTTATCTCACAGAAATCATTGTAACTAATCATGATAAAATTAAGATTGAAAAGAGAGAAAGAATCCAGATTTCTGATTCATAGAAAATTGGTTTGTGTCGTTCTTAAAATTATTCCGATTCTCCATTAACGTATTACTAAAAGTTAACAAATTATACAAACTATGTACTGCGGCTTCCTTGCTAATGAGATTTACTAATGTGCTTCGTAAAAGTAGTACGATAAAATAAGATTACGCGGCTGGCGGGTGGAGACGAATCAAAGAAGAGGTAAGACTCGAATTGCGGCGAATGGCGCTCTAACAGGCACCACGTTCCACTTTTTCCACGTTCGGCCGACGGTGGTGTGGGCAATTTCGTTTTTATTGTTTCGCGCCGTTTCCGATAAGAACGACGAGAAGCGGGGCCCGCCAAGAATTACCTGGACGAGGTGCGCGCGAGGATAAAAACCGGTGCCGGCGCGGTAAGCCGCAATTTGCCAACGGCCTGGGAACTGAAGGGCTGTAGATGGTCTGGCTCCAACGGGGCAAATAGTCTAAATGATTAACCCTCTTCTCCCTTCACCCTTTCTCTCTCTGGTGTGGCTATTGCTTGGAGTACATCGCTTCCAAGCGGCGATTTCTGTCTCATCTATTAGTACTCGTTCGTATCTGCTGATCCACACTCGACTCATTTTACGAATGCTTTGATCTAGGAAAAAGTTTTTTTTTTAATGACGTGAGACTAAATTGTAAATCGTATACCTTTTATCTAGATTCTTACCAGCAATTGAGTCACACTCCATCCCGTTTCACAAGCGTATTTCTTTCTTCGATTGCAAGTAAGGTGCTTGCGACACGTTGAACGCAGGCATTAAAGTCTACTCGATGTTTAATTCTGTATCTCCGATCTCACCTAAAATTACAATAAAAAAATTTTCTTTTTTTTGTGAAAAAAGAAACGAAAGATGGATATCAAAATATTTTTTTGTCTATAGTATCGTATTTTTTTTTACGAAATTTTGATCGCTCCTTAGATCAGTACTTAGATCTCTCTGTGATAATATATTATTTTTTTTGCGAAATATTTATCGTTTTGAAAATAAAACGTTAAATTAGACATCTCAATCAAATCAACTATACGTGCTGTAATTATTTGGTTAAGTCGAAAAACATAAAACGAGTAAGGCGATGAATTTTTCCGCCGGAATGCCGTTAATTAGTTAAGCTCTGATAACGATTCTGCGGTTCTGAGAGGGCGCGGAGCGGCGCGAGATTATAAATACCTCGAGCCGCAAAAGTAAGAAAAGTTTAATCAGGACTTGGAGCAGGAGAGAAGAGGGGTAAAAGAGAGGAAGGGAAGGAAAGGGCGTCCTCGTGACGACTTGATGAGATAACTTTGTCCAAGTTGTGAAACAACGGGCGTCACGATACGTGACTTTGCGCGAGGGTGAAAGGAGAATTCATACTTCCTGTAAAGGGAGAGGGTGAAGGGGGACGGTAGTAGTGGAACGAGACTAAGGAGCAGACACGCGACCTTCTTGGATACCGTCCTGTCCTGTTCCGTGATGTACAAAGACGAAGAACTCGGTGCGTGAGACGGCTTTCTTTTCGTGCGAGAAAGAAACGGCCGCATTTCCGCGTGCGAAAACGCTCGTTAATCCTTCAGGATTGATACGGGACGTTGGTAGCACTCTACGTTACATTTTCGTAAAGTTTGAACAGTAGTATTGCAAACGTTGACACATCGAGCATTAATGTTAAAATTTATGGAGTACTTTCTTACACGTATATACGACCTATGAGATATTCACGACATATAATAATCTCTCAGTTATGACAATATTATACGAATTTTAATTGATGTTTGCTAAAACAATAAATTAAATATATTATTTTTGTATTATAACATCTTTTTCAAAGCATACGATTAATCGATAAATATCAGACGATAATGACAATTCTTCAGCGAAAGAAAATATTAACATTCCGGATACACTTGAATAAATGGTCTTCGCGAAATGAAAAATCATCACACACGTGAATCCTTTATGCATATATACCTATGCACAAGTCTCCGGGACGTCGATTAGACCGATTACCGTCAGGACGCGTCACGGGGTCGTCGGGGGTGGGTCCGGGGGTGCGTTCGCCAGCTCGCCGGCTCATCACGTGACGTGATGTCACGTTACCTGGTGGTCGTCGACAGGTGTTCGGGTTCGCACGACCAGAGCAAGAACTGTGCGCGGCCCGTGTTATCAGCACAAATCCAGCCACATAATGATAACGAGCAGATCTGAATAGGCGGGTGACAAGAAGCACGCTCGTATAATGTGTAGGTTTCGATCGATATCTCTCTCCACAAGGGTTGAATGTTATAAAAAGATGAGTGCATATATTTTCTAAAATCCTTTTCGAGAGATTCGATTAGATCTCTGAAAAAAATGACGAAAAAATTAAAAATTTCTGCAAAACAAAATTTGTATTTAAAAAAAGTTATATCTAAAAAATAGAAAGATTAGATAAACAACTTGTTTACAGACGAAGAGAGAGAGAGAGAGAGAATAAGAGAGAAAGTGATCCGGACGCACATTTAATTTTTCGCACATGTTGAACTCACGAAGAAGGGACATATTGTATTGTTTCAAAAGGCGCCCGTAATTGCGACGTCGTGGGATCACAACCACGTGGTCCCTCCCGCTCAAAGCTCACCGCTCCCTGTCCCTCTTTTTCTCTCTCTTTTTCTCTGTCACTCTGCAGTAAATTAGATATTACGATATTAAATGATGTTATTTAATCCACCCATGTGTGACCGACCCCTGCCCGGGAGTTAAATTTATGTGAATTGTTGCGTGAACGGCGTACACAACATTGTTGCGTGAACGGCGTACAGGTGTACCGGTCGCTTGCAAATCTCAATCCTTTTTGTTATTGTTAATATTATATATTTTATATAATATTCCCATTTGAAAAATACGATCAGCAATAGATAGAAAAATGCGACTCAAAAATCTAAAAAAAAAATGTTCGGATTAGAGTGTCTTTATGACGTTTTTTATACATACCGGATAATGCAAGAGATATAACATACATAAAAGCGATCGCGAAGGTCAAAGGACGCGAAACACCTGGAACACATCCGCGCAACACGATCGCAAACACAAAGGTAATCGATCTCTTGACCATTAATCGCGGGCTAGAGGATAATTACAGGACGGATGAGTTGCAACATTAATGAGAATGGCAAAGGGGAGGGGGAAGGAGAGCGATCTAATACAGCACGCCGCCGGCTAATTTGCTTCATAATAATTACGGACGGCGCATTAAACATTCGTACGTAGGTGGATAACGTGAAAGTGTCAGGTGCTGACTGTCCCAGAGGCACATTAGAAGGCACCTACGTACGTATCTATGTAGTATGCCTATGTGATGGTCTATGCGAGACTGCGAGACGTGTATATACATATAAACGCGTTCTCCTCGCATGTGCAAGACTCGCACCTGCATCGCCGCCCGAAGTCTCCCAGAAGGACGGAGGAAGAAGATCGTAATTTCTGAAAATAGAGCGGCCGAAGAATCGCGTTAACTCGCTCGCTCGCAAAAGTTTCTAAATTTCCATACCGATTCGATCAAACTTATGCCGCTGGTTCGACCTCGCGGCTTTTCTTTCTCCTCTTAGCGTGGTCTCGAGATTGTTCTTCATGGCAGGGAGAAAGATCAGGAAGAGAAATTCGTGTTACCTATAATGGTACAACAAAATATTTTTTTATTATCTGCAGTATGTCGCTTTTCTCTCGGTAATTGATATTAATAATTCTTAGATCTATGAACTTATTATAGTGCGCGCAATTTAATGTATAGTATATTATATATGTGTACTTTTTATCTTGTGTGTATGTATGTGTGTGTGTGTGTGTGTGTGAAGAAATTTATTCTAGAAATATAAAATAAAAGCATTTATCTTCTTTTTCATATTAAATACAATGAAATATACATATGTACAATGTAAATGAAAATAATAACTGGCAAGTGACTTTAAAAATTACACATGTCATAAGAATTACAGATCGAGGCCGCAGATATGTACGTACGATAAGTGTTGGCGATCAGTCATCGTGAGGCCGCGACGTGTACCATCGAGCGATGAACCACACGAATCGCAGATAATACTGGCGTAATGATTGGAAGATCAGAATCTCTCCGGTTACCTGAAATTGCGGGACTGGTCGTTATTCTTTCGCGGCAATGAATATTTTATGTTGCGCTATAGCGTACCAGTATCTTCATTAGATTATTTTTATATAATCTGCATAAAGTGTTCAAATATGATTTTATATTTCAAGTGGATTCTACAACTTGTAGATTTGACATTCATATGTATATTCAGACTTATAGATTTGATTCATTCTGATATAAAAGAAAAGTTATATAAATGTTAATTTATATTACATTATATAACTATTATCTATAAATAATGAATACTGTTCATATATAAAATTTGTTCTTCAAGTACTAAATCGACTGTTTAACTGAATCTTACAGATTTGAGAGATTGACTCTGAATGCTGCAACGTCTTTCAAGAATATGCGAAATAAATAAAAAATAGTGAATTATGATATAGTAAAAACAATATACACGCGTTAATATTTACATTGATCGAGACGGGCAACGAGAAAGCATTATAAAGCTCTTGTCATCAGCTATCTATTCGATGCGTCTTTTCGCACATTGTCAGGAATATTCACGCGACCTATTACATATATGTACTGCGGTTTGTAGATTGACCTCGCGATACCTACAATCATTTTAGGATCGTAGAGATGACACATCGTGATTGGTCAGACGGCTCGCGCCCGTGTTCTCCCTTGACCATCGAGAGCTGCGTCTGGCTGGTTGCCGCTAATGACGCGGTAGCGAATCAACTTACGGCGCAGTCAGTGCGCATGTATCTGGAGGCGGGATATTCGTCGTCCCCAACGAATCCAATGTTCTTCGCGCGTATGTTTTCGCGATGCTGCAACATGTGATACATGATGCGGCGCGTCAAAGCAGTCGGGCCGAGTTATTAGTTGATCGCCGCAGCAACGAATCTGTAGTACTCTTCGAAAGTTCAGAGTTTTCTCAAAGAAATTCGTTTAAACCTTTGCGAGATAGAATTTGTAGTATCAATCGATGGATATTCAATCTTAAACTTCTGATAAATTTTCATAATATTCTTCGATGCGATGCAATAAGTGACCTGTGAACATTGAAAATATAAATAAAATGTAGAATTCAAAATTCTATCGATAAATTTATTAAATTATTTTTAATCATATATGTGAAATGCGTATATATAAATAGTGAAATAATACAATTGCCAAGGAATACAGTTTGCCGCCGAGGAAACTTTGCATCGATAAGAAGTTGTCAAAAATATAAATTATCGAATCTAAAATCCGATATTATTTAATATTTTACATATATGTGTAAAACGTATAATGAAATAAATTATAAAATAAAGTTAGAAGGAAGAGAGTTGCTGAGAATAGATCTTTTTGCTGTGATCAAGTACGGATTATTGACAAGCGAAATCTTTGGATTTAATGAAAGATGCGTTGTTGGCAACTATGTCACGACCTATGCCTGAAACGATTCTTAAGATGTGAAACATTACTTATCATTTAAGCAAATGGGTTATATTACACGTCTCTCGGAGCAAATAAGTATTTATTGTTCGATCGGAAAGATGTGTGGAGTCTACCTTCATTCTGAATATTGAAGAGAATATTTTTCGAGCAATGAGTTCACACTCTCATGCGAGAACGATGTGCACTGGAAACGCAGTCTCTGGCGCATTCTCTGCGTTGCATCTCTTGCGAAGTTACAGTCTCCTCGCCCCAAATTCAGGTGCGTAAAGTGTGTGTTAAAATTCCTTGTTAAAATCACCATTCTTTTCATCGCAGATTTTTGGATGATTCTGGAAGAAACTAAATATGTTTTAAATTTTAATTTTTATGTTGTATCAAATTGAAAAATATTTGCAATGTATAAATTATTTAAGCATATATAATGATCATATTCTTTGCTTCTGTTGATCTTGTCGATAGTTTTAGAAACTCTATATATAGCTCATTAAAATTTTATTTTCAATCGCGTATAAGCATCACCTATATATTATTAATTTATTGCGTAAAACATTAATAGAAATATTATAGTTTTATACCTATGTTACACATGTATTAATAAATTATTTTGTATTTTATCTTTCAATTTATACTAATATTTTATTTTTGTTTTACTATTTTATATAAGATGAAAAAATATTTGAAATATAATATAATGCGCCACGTATTATACGCTTGGTTACTTTCGTTATGGATAAGCGAGCAAGTTGACTGACATCTGGCTTGATCTACAACACTTTCCCATCCTGTCTTAACTCCTCCAGTAGCCGTGATCGTCTAGTGGTTAGGACCCTACGTTGTGGCCGTAGTAACCCAGGTTCGAATCCTGGTCACGGCAATGCGAAGAGCATTGTCACGGTGGAGGTTTTTTTTAAATTCAATTTCTCTATATTTTTGTGTCTGTTGAAATTTATAATTATTATATTTACAATCGCAATTTTTCAAGTAATAAATATAAAAAGATTAAAACAATAAAATGTATTATTTAACGATCATGTTATTTATAACTCCTTGTAATTCTCTCTTTCTCTCTCATATATAATAGATCATTATTATATACAGACAATTATTACAACTATATATAGTTGTAATAATTGTATTAAAATTATCTCATTATGAGTCATACAGTTCATATTACAGGCTATAAATAATGTTTTTTGTATACTTACATTTAAATGTATACTGAAATATATGAGTTGTGCATCAAATCTATTTTTGCGAAGTTGTTTCTTATTACAAGCGGTTGTCTCATTTATAGCATCGCCATTACATCGGTCTTGTTCCCTAAAAATGTAACTGCCGCTTGAGCAATTAACGTCTAAGCGAATTTTACGACTTAACTGTAACAGCCGCGGCAATTTGTACGGACGTTAACGTTTGCACAGTTTCGCACGAACCTCGACAAGTCGTTGTATTATCACGACATTCGGATTCCCATGTTTCATAGTCCGGTAGCACATACAATCATGATGTATATAGCTGGATGGAGTAAAAGTTTCAGCTTTCGCTGGCGAAATTTCCAAGTGTCAAATAAATTTTCCATCGATCAAGCGAGTGAGCAAACTATATTTCGAATAAAGGTAATTAATCCTGGAATAAAGAGAGAAATAAATGAGTGGTTAGTTTATGGAACTTAATTTTGACGAAATATCATATTAATGTTATTTAAAAAATTAATAGATATATATATAAAAATGTAGATATTATGTATATATATGTGTGTAATATTTGTTATTATACATACATAAAAATTAATTTTCTAATTAATTTCCTACAGCAAAGCTATTGTTGCAGAATATTATTCTTACAATATCTTTAGTTTTCTATAAGTGTTAATAATTTATATCTTTTATCATCGACAAAAAAAAATTAAATTACCCCTGGTGGGACTCGAACCCACAATCCCCGGTTTAGGAGACCGATGCCTTATCCATTAGGCCACAGGGGCGGTCGATAGAACTCTACCTAAACTTTCTAGTCTTTATTCCCAATGAATCGGTTCTCCTTTTTTTACATTTAATAATATAAAATAAACGAATACAATTAATCAAATGCACAATACCTGGATGAAATTGATAAAATTCTTGTCTTCATTAGCAGATCTGTGTAGGTACGAAGCGTACCCATCTCGGGATTATAATTTCGTCGAACCGGATATTTTATCGAATTCCGTAGCAGCGGATTCTTCATCCTCGCCGTTAACATCCTCTTCTTTGCCGACAACATTCTCACTTCCAGGAACTTTGCTTCAACCACCTTTTATAGCGGCGATGCCACCCTTGATGCAATCTCTGAGCGTACCTCAACCGTTTTCGATTTCATCTTCGGGTAAGCTAATTTTGCCTTAAAACGTTCGGTTCTTCTGTTAAATAATTTTCAATATATTAAATATATTTGCATGAAAAGACATTTACTATTTACTTATTGATTAAGTGCACTAAGTTAATCGCCTCGGTAGCGCAGTAGGCAGCGCGTAAGTCTCATAATCTTAAGGTCGTGAGTTCGATCCTCACCCGGGGCAATTTTTTTGCTTTTATCTCGTTAAAAATTGTGTCGGTTACATGGCGATATTAAAAACATGTTATCTCATCACCGATAACAAAACAGGTGCCATGAACCGTCACTTCATCACTACAAACGGCATAAACACTCTCCACAGAAGACCTAGAAGCGAAAAGAAACCGATCCCGGACGATCAAAAAGATGAAAAATATTTCGAGAGACGTAAACGGAATAATCAGGCAGCGAAGAAGTCGCGAGATGCCCGCAAAATCAGGGAGGATCACGTAAGAACAGAATAAAACTATCTTTTTTCAAGTTTCGATATGATAGAGAGTAATATGTTTAAGATTAACAATAGCGGACGCGATAAATTCGCGTAATAAATTCAATATTTTCGATCGATGCAGTTTCTGTTTATACAAATATAAAGTTTTAATTATTATCGCTTTTATACTTACACAGATTGCTCTAAGGGCGACGATGCTCGAGCACGAGAATGCGATTCTCAAAGCGCAGATAGTGACCCTTCGGGAGGAAGCGCAATCGTTGCGACATATGTTGATCAAGCAACACGCTCCGGCGATACAATCCATCGAACGATCACTTTCCTCGATGACACCCGTGACACTCTCTCCTTCACATACCACCGCGAGTTTAGATTGTTAATTTTTTTCCAACAAAAATGCGTGTAGAGATGTTCTATTCGGGGCGAAGATTAAAATCCGTGTATAACTTCATTAATAATGCAAAAATGATCCTTATGTTTATTCGCGACATGCAATAGGAGATATATTGAAATTACAACGTTCGATTTAGAAAATATGTCAAAAGTTATTAGATGTTTTCTATGTTATGCGAATAATAAATAAGAACCAATTAGCGGTGTTAAAGATCAGGATATTATCTTAATGGCCACAGTCGGATCAAATTCTGATTAACTTAATCGGCATCAATTAATTCAACTAGAACTGTATAATGGCCTATAAATTTTCCATACAATTCATTTTGTTCTTAATCATTATATTTTTCATATGGGTGTCAAGCAATAAAAGACTTAATAATTTTATTCATACTAACACTAATAAAATAATAACGAAATGCAAGTATTACCCGCCTTGACAGGTTAAACGCCGATTAAGTTGATCATAAAAGTTACTCAAAGTGGCTTTAAGACTTCGATACGAAGATTATTTCTTGTTAGAATTACTATTACTCATAATAAGTGTAATTATTGTTGCTTGAATGCTAATAAAAGAGATAATTCTAATAAAATAATGATGAGATACCTATACGCTTAAAAAAATTAATATACTTTTGTATATCCCAAAAGTTCGTCTTTACTTGCGAGACATCTAACGGTGTAATAAAATATTAAAAACACTAACTGATAAGTAAGAAAACATCATTAACCGGCAATCGATAAGTATAAAAATGATTTCTGGAGACTATGTAAAAAATATTTTAAAATATTTTTTTGCATTTTTTCCACTTTTAAAATTAAAAAATGTTTAAACGCACGTTTTGGAAATAAAAAGATAAAAAGATGTGACCGTATAAACTCTAAGTAATCTAGAATTCGCATGCATTTTGCGAAGAAATTTTACACCTCGTTTGTAAAAAGTACTTTTCACTTTCGGATATACGGCATATTAAACAAACAATATAATTTCGATTAGTTTAAAATTTAAATAATCAAATATATTGCGTTTGACTATTACATTAAACTATTATGTTTAATGTATGTTTGATGAAAGTATAATATTAACAAAATATTAAAATTGAGAGAATATTTACACATTGTATCTAATCAATTTCAATCAATTGCAATGCAATTTTTCAGTAATATAATGAATAAAATACTGTTTTGTATGTTTCTACATGATACTATTTTCGTAAAAGAAACATTGAAAAGTTCCATAAAGAAGATACTGCATAACGAAAATATGATAAATATTTTATAGCGTAATAATAGTGTGTATATATATATATACATACATATATGTGTAAATATATATACATATATATGTATATATGAGGGTATATATATGTTATGTATTTGGCATCGCGACGCTACCGCGTCACTTGATATACAGTTTATACATGTACTAAAAAATTAGCAGACCGTCGCGTTACGCATCTTTAGTCTTGTTTACCGTATAAAAAGTACTTTAATTACAATACAATAAGAAACATTGTGAGTACATTTGTTGAATTATGTATATATAAACCTTCTCGGTATATGTATTACACTAGACTACTTATATCAATACAGGTTACACACCTACAAGGAGAATGTAGACAGAGACATGTAGAGATGATATAGACGGTTCTAAATAGGTAGAAACAGGTTTCTACATTTATTGAAAAAAAGTAAAAGAGAGAGATACTGTGTGTTTACGTCTATCTGCTCGTGGTCACACATGTATATGTGTATTTGGAGCGTAAATTAAGTTTACTAACTTTTGTAGCCGATGTAGAGCTTTCGAAGCTGCAAAAACAAATGTGTGGCTTCTAGTGATATTTTTACGACATTTTTACGTTGAACTTTACAATCGCATTCATTATTATAAGTGTTGGCAGGGCCAAATTTTTACAATTGTCGTTAATATCGTCTGGGAACGACACCTTAGAGCGATATCCCGCACGATAAATTCATCGTTTCGCCGCGAGGAAATTTTTTTCTAATTACATTTAACGATATACATATATAATAATGTCATTTGTTCAATTATTACTCCATCAAGTAATAATTTTTGTTTTATTTTTTTTTCATTTAGAATCGCTAACGATTATATTCATCTACAAAGGCATTATACATTCGTCTTTCTTTGAAAACGTGAAATCGTCGACGACGATCGGAGGCGAATCATTCACGAGGCGATCGCGTCCAAAAGACCACGCATCGAACCATCGCAATGGCAGTAATCGCGCACTTTGGATGATAACGCGAGATTAATCGACAAATCAATTAGCCGCTATCACAGTGGCGGGACCGGTGGCGGTTGCCGACGACGACGATGATGACGATGACGACGACGACGATGACTTCTTCTTCAACACAATGTCCTTGATATTGAGATTGACCTTCTCCTTGTGCGGCGGCGGCACGGATTGCTGGCAGAACCTCTTGAAGTCCTCCAATTCACGCTCAAAGTAGTCCATGTCCCCGTCTATATCTTTGGGCGTGAATACGCTCTCTGTAAAAGATACGTTCTAAATACTGGATACACCGACAGCTCGCCTGCGAGCGCAGCAATGAGTGGCACAAAATCTGCCGTGCATTTCTCTTTTTTCTTTCTTTTATCTACTGTATGTGAGTATGAGTAAAAAAGAAACCACACACACACACACACACGCGCGCGCGCGCGCGCGCGTGTGTGTGTGTATAGAAAAACGAGAAAAACGAGAGGATTACGCCACGTTTATATGCTACATATATCTCGAATATCAAGTTCAAACGTGAATCAAGATACACGCGCGATCTTCTCAAAATGCAGAATAATATAATACAAGCGATACGCATGTCAATTTTCAAATTCTTCTCAATGTGAACAATCTGCATAAACAGTCACTTTTACACTGTACCGTCATATGTCATTATAAAGACAATTGTTAATATCGTATTTTTCCCGAGTTTCTATCATTACAATTAATTAATAATTTTCTGAAAAAAAGTAAATTAAATAAATAAGAATATTTTTTAAACATTCGTGGGGAGAAAGACTTGCTTAGTCTCTCTAAACTTATTACAGTTCGTCAGCAGTAAAATGATAGCGATTTTTGTCGAATAAAGGAAAGGAAAGAAGAGAGAAAAAAACGAATTATTATATCCTTACTCATGCAGCATCTCGGGAAGCGTTCATTCCGACAAAGGGGAAAAGAGAGTATAACATTGAAAAAAGTAACTTACTTTTTTATTTAATATTATCACCAGATTAAAAAATATCGTATACTATAGTATCACACTCGTGTATCATCTATCACGATTAAATTACACCTACATAATTTTGTATTTCTCGTTGTCATGATCAATGTAAACTAATGTTTTATCCATTCTTTATCGATCGATCGTAATGTGTTTAAGATAATCCGATATAATACATGTAGAGCTAATATCTCTCCCAAAATCTCCCTTTCTATATTTTATCATATGTTCTGGTCGTTCTCGTAAATTTGCATAACATTTATCAAGACGACACTGCCTCGCATTCTATATCCGCATAAAAAATCCGAGATCGAAAAAATTTGCATGTTTAAATTTAAAGATTACTAGCTACCCTACGCTTTCGAATCATCTCGTTCATGATTACAAAGAAAGAAGAAAAAGAAAATACAATCCGGTTGGAAGAAACGAATCTCACATAGGAGGAAAAAAAAAAAAACCAGAAAGAAAGATTATGCTCACTGGCCATTTGTATTCTCTTTTACGATCTTCAAGAAAACTTATGAAGACCATTTCTCGAAGACATTTCTCTTTTTCAATCTCTCTGTTTCTCTCTTTTCCTCTCATTCTTTTTCTCTATCCGATTCGAAAAATCTTTTGACCTAGCAGATGACGCGGTGTCCTAAATGCAGAGCAGTGTCCTCTTGACAATATAGAAGGAAAAAAAATAAATTGTCAGTATGATGAACCTATAAACGTCCAAGAGAAATATGTATGAATAGTTACTGACATGGAAAAAAAAGAAAAAAAAAAGAGAAAAAGATCGCTGAAAACGTATGAGAAACAACCCGAGAATGTGTGTAATGTGCTCACGTATCATGTATGTGTTAAAGAGAAAACAAACAAAATGAAAGAAGCAAATTTACATGTTAAAGTCTGATTATTGTTGTTTCTCACCAACGAGGTTCCAGTCATCCCCGCATTGTCTCGTGCCATTTCCGCGTTTTTTCTTTTTCTTGCTCTTGCCACCGCCGTTGGCGCTTATCACTGCCTCCTTCACTGCGGCAGTGTTCACCGATGCCTGCCGCGTATCTTCCATACTTGTCGTCTCGGACCTCACCTTCGTCAGGGTGACGCTGGTACCCTTGAGGTTGATGCCGTTCTCCGGTATCGGTTGGCCATTCGTCACCTTGCTGATTTGGATGTTGGCGAGCCCGGACAAGGATGACGCGCAGTCTATCGGTTGCGCGGTCAATCGACTGCGCAATTCCGCTAGACTCGATGGGATAACGCCATTCGCGTGTTTCATATTCAACGTGTTACAATCGGCTGTCGTTGTTGTCGTCGTCATTCTGCCTGTCGACGACGAAGATGGCGATAGATCACCCTTGACAATATAATCGGGTTTGGGTGGTGATGTCAAGCCTGCATTGATAGCCTGCTGCAAGGCCGGACTTCGGATCGTCACCATGCCATTCTCCGACACTTTGATGATGGCCGCCTGCTGCGTCGGCGGCACTTTCATTGGTCCAAACGACGGATTTTTAATAGTCACCATATTTGTGCCGGGATTGTGCAGTATTCTCGCAGGTTCATCCATCACATGATCGCTCATAAATGCGTCGCTGTTCTGCAATGATGGCGACGTAGATACCGTGTTTCCCGAATTGACCGAATTCTTGTTTTTCTTTTTCTTCTTTTTGCTAGTAGTACTTTGAGACTGCGAATCCTTTGACGAGTCTATATGGAAAAATATTCAAAAAATCTTTTATCATAATAATAAAATAAGATGGATTGAAAGAAAACATATAATTAAAAACTCTGCGTTGAAAGATAGAGAAAGAGAGCGAGAGAAGTATGTTATTTATATATACAATAGAAATATTATTATATAAAATTTTTTAAAGACAACGGCAATCCCATTGATTTTAATAAAGTAACTCCTTTTAATTTTGTTTATTCATTATTATTAAAACTTTATTTATTGTTAATAGAGCATAAACTATAATAGGATTGTAGTTGTTTGCATTATACAAGATAAAATAAAAAACTTTAAATATTTAGAATTATGTCGTATAAAATATTTTCTTTTTATATATATATATATATATATATATATATCCCGATGTATTTGCAATTAATTTCTGCTTACCTTTCTCATTGGCTTTCGGCAGCAAGTCTTGCTTAAGCTTGCCCGTGTCTACCACAATGACGTTTCCTCCAGCCTGTGGATTCGCATAGCTCGATTGAGCACCGCTCATCGGCGTAGCGATAATAGTGGTTTGTTTGGGCGGACTCACTGGTTTCGGCAATGGAGCCGTTTTAATCGGTAGTGGTTTTGGCGGCGCGTCGACTTTCGTGATCGTAATGCCCGGCGGTAACTTGAGGTTCT